CATTATTTTCACAGCGGAAAATGAGCCAGGCCAGTGGATAAAGTAGAATAAAATAAAGATAGTAGAAGGCATTTTTAATAAATACTTTGACTTTTGAGCGTTGTGGCGCTGTAACCTCCCGTTCCCTTTTTAACAGTCGTTCAATGACTGAGTCTTGACATTTCAAATCATATTCTTTGCGAACTCGATCGTGATAGTCAAATAGTCTTCGATATTTCTCCTTCTGTTCCGGATAGAATGATGGAATGGAAAGTAGTGGTTTCATTAGAGCACAGAGTGTAAGATCAGCAGCTGTGAATTGATTATCAAACAAATATTGTTTTCCCATCAATTTTTCATTTGTTTCTCGTAGAAACTTTTGCGTATTTTCAACGATTTGATCTTCTTTCACACGATGTACACGATATCGTGAGATGAGGAAACAGCAAACAATTGTACCTTTGATTTTTGATTCAACATTATCAACTGATTGTGTTTGATCACCTAGCGGCATAATATTGATGGATAGAATAGCTGGTTTTTCGCTAAATACTTGTAAATAGGCTAGCCGTCGTGCAAACAACCCTAAGGTTGAATCAAGAATCAGACAATAATCAATGATTGCTTGCTTTGAGGAGGGAACGGGAAATAGGGATTTTTTATCAGGATAACGTTCTTCTAAATACAGTAAGATTGGTGTTGAATCAGATATAAAGAATGACGTGTTATCTTCGTGCAAACGATTATTTGGATCTTCGATAATTGGTACGAGTTTTTGAAGTGTTTGCGGTGCATGTTCTAAACCTTCGGTTGGTTCACGCACATGGTAGGGAACTACAGTGTACGGTATGTTTTTATAATCCAATGCCCAACGAACTTTATCGCAGAAATGTGAAAAGGAAAATTGATAGAGACGTAATGGTTCCATGATGATGATTGTCGTGTGAGTAGAGAATGAAAAGGCCTTCACATATATAGTATGTTTTTTGCCACCGCATTACATAAGTGATTATGAAAGAAAGATAGAAAGAAATAAAAAAACCAGTAAAGTAAAATAGCGTTATATAAGTGAATATGAAAGAAAGAAAGCGAAATAGCGTTATGTAAAGAGTTGTTCAGATCTTAACGTAGGCAGGTATGGTAAGGGTCCCAGACGACTCCCTCCATAATTTAATGCAAGCAGTATTTTTCAGGGGTCAAAACTCAAATTAAGATGAAGGCACTGCAAAGAGGGGCTAACCAGAGTAATCTTAAAAACTGTCCATCTTGTTTTTGAACTGTTCTTTGGTGATTATGAACGAAAGAAAGAAAAGAAAAACGGCAAACAAAAATAGAATATGGTTATATAAGAAGCAGTCGCTTGCATAAGTTAGTAATGATCGTTATATAACCGAGCTTTTTCTCTTCGGGTAAGTTAACTTTCGGTAGGTACTCAAAACAACCGCATTTGTGATTCAGGTTGTGTTCGCTATTGCAAAAAGCGTCTTCCAGTAAAAGAGTATGCATTTGTTACCTCCTGCCTAATAATCAGTCTCTGTCCGAAAACAATTTTCTTCCATCCCGACATCGCTTTAGTTGAGATGATTAATAAAAATGAGCGGACTCTACACATATGCCTGTTTTATTTCTAGGATTTATACGAGAGTGGCTTTTGATGGCTAAAAAATGAACTCGCTTCACATTGAAGCGTGTCCTATCGCGTTGCAACGATAATACGAATGTCAATAATACTGAAAGGATCATAATCGACTCGAAAACAGATTCAGAAATCATCTAAAAATAGAATTCCGAATTCTCGCCCATGCCTTCAGATGGAATTTGGCTCGTTGCTGTAATATTTAGTTTTTGCCGTCCAACTTCGTTCGATAGCACTGAAGCTTTTACCAGCTGCTCACGACAATATCTTCTGTCATCTGACTAAAGGCTGGACTTTCTGCTGCAAACGCTTACAGTTTTCTTGTGCTTCGAAATTAACAAAACATTGCGAAAAAGGATTCTGAGAAAACTTTGCTCGATAAAGACAATCAAGAAAGCCTGCAGTAAATAAGATTGCCAAAAAAGCGAGAAACACCCTGAGAACGGTTTTTGATACACCACTTGTGCTCTGTGTGCTTTCGATAGACACCGCCTCTTTACCGCGATTTCACTTACTGGCGCTAGTTTCGATCATTTATCATGTGTATGTGTCTGTGGGTTTGCGCATCTGTCATACTACAGTCCCTGTTTTTGTATCTCTGTCACATTTCGTCGGTGTGTTTGTGCGTCTGTCACGCTGCGCACAATACACAGACAGATAAACAGACATTTAATTTCGTATGACTCTATAATTTATAGTATAGAAAAAAGAAAGTAAAACAAGATTTCATAAGGAAGATCTATTGAAATGAAACGCAGACGGACAAAGTTTCGTTCTCCCACTTCGGTCCGATCCACATACACTTACCTTCTGACACACTGGTCATCAGCAGTTTCAAAGTTGCTTTTTGTCTCATCCTACACCGAAAGGTATCTGGGTATACTTACTTACAAAGTTGCGAGGGAACATCTCTAGATGTAATACTCGGTTTTCGATAATTTATACCTTAATCAACAGAGTATACTGAGCTAACAGGTCTCGATATATTGAGAATCTCGAGATTGTCGCGATATCTCGATCTCGATGCATGCCTAGTGGGCAATATGTACAAAAATGAAGTACAAAAACTGCTATAAATATGGTTTTGTACTTCATTACCTCACTATTTAAATCATTAACTGCTCTCTTTCCTAACTTTATGTACAAAAATGTTCAGCTTTCCAACTCACTTTATTCTCAAGTTAATGAATTTTCAAGTTCTTTTATGTTTTGGTCTCTTGCAAATGAAGAATAAAATGGTTAGTATTGGTCCGAGCAGTGTGAAATTTCAGGAATGACGTAATTTTGAACTCGTCCAGTTCCTGGATAATTTTAAAGTATTTGGCTTTCCGTACTCAAGTTTTTGTGTATGTTTGTGGAAAGCCTGAAATCTACTAATCAACTAGAAACTTGAACTAGAAACGATTTCTTGCATTTTATCTTACAAAAGCTGTCAAAATCACAAATGAAAATTTCAAACGGTTTGGATCAAAACTGATCATTTTAAATGCATTTTATTTTCCACCTGCAAGGGGTCAAAGTATGCAACAACTTGAGAGTTCTTTAACTCGAGAGTGGAGTGAGTGAAAAAGTTGAAACGTTTTATGGATATGCCGAAGTGAAGCACAATCACAAAATTTTAGCCTTTTATCTCATTCCTTTCTAGACTTAATAATTACTATTTAATTATTTTTATTTTCGGTATTTCTTTAGAGAAGAATGAAATGGCTATAACTTTTGAGTAAAAAGACATGGACCTGAATCCTTTTTAGCTTTTATATGCTCACTATATTCTATCAATCAAGATATAAATTATTGGAAAAGGAGTATTACATCTCGCGCCCTTCCCTCGTTAGAATCGTTTGAGAGCAAAAATACTTGGCGTTAACTTTGACCAACAATTCTCGATGAGCTCACTTTGCATCTCCAGATAACAAAGTCGACATTTGCAGAAATTTAGTGGAACAGAAAGCGAAACGGTTTTATAAGTCAAAAAAATAATAATGTTTTTTGAAGTTTTTTTCATGTTCTGTGCCGTTTTTATTGGAATGAAAAAACAAAACTGCGCTGACTTTTTCATACTATTTTCGATTTTCGGCTTCAAGACATGGTCAGCAAGCGGAAAGTACAGTTCTTTTGTTAGTGGATACATAGTTTTTCAATATGTGTTTAGAGGAAATTCTCTCTCATTTTATATCCTTATGTAAATGTGTTCAGATGTTATAAATTTGTCATATTAAGTATAATATTGTAAAATTGTGGCCGACATCCCGAGTTAGTCGTTATAAGCGAACGTTCACCAACATGTGGACAATAAAGTGACTTGCAACTTGACCTTATTTGAAAGTTGTTACATTCTGAAGATAGTGTGGAACGAAAGAGTTTTATACAATCGTTGTTGGATTGCGATATCTTCTTCCAGGGCGTTGTTGCCGGCTTCGGAATGGTTAGTTGCAGCGTTACCTTGGTTGTCGTTGTACTCTTTTAAGTCGCTGGATCAGCTGATGATTGGGTTGTTTTCGCTGTTGTTGTCGGCTTTATTGTCTTGCTTGTAGTTCCTGTTGTCCATGAAAGTAGAACATGTTTAATTCGTCGTGTCGTCGTGGTTGTTCGTTCATTTGCCCGTCACATCACATCATAGTGTTCTGTAAAATTATCGATAAAACATATACTTGGATTTACTTAGGTTTCTGTTTCAAAATTGCCTTGCCACTACCGCCCAGGTGCTACATTTGATTCATCCACTTTGTGTTGACTTTTAGTGTCTTTTTTACCTGAGACACTAGACAGAGAGTACAATAAAACGCATCACTCAGATTTGTATCTCTCTCACTTTTAATCTTTTTTACCAGTTTTTCAAATGCAATATTGTAGGAAATAGTGAATATGTGCTGGAAAAATTTACCACAATATCCCGCATCGTGATGTTTATTCTAGGATAATCTGCATTATTGTAAGCGATTGTGGTCATTGATTCGAAACAATAATTGGGGATGCTTACAATATTTCGCAATATTGTGAGAGAAAGAGTTTCACAATATTCCGTGTTATTGTGGATTATTGCGGAACGTATAGTTGACTGCAATTTTCTCTTCCTTAACCCTTTGAAATCGGATTTCATAGAATGAGGACTGCATGGGTACATAAACAACACGGTGTAAACTTCATTCATTAGCTAAATGCGGATCGATCCGCGCTATTTTCAAAAACTCTTTAATGGAATAAGGTAAATACGATTAATCAATGGATCTCACAGTCGGAAAGTTATCTTTCTCTAAACAGGACTGATAACACTTAGGACGCTGTTAGAAAGGTAGATGAAACAAAGACAGTGCGTGACGATAAACAATAGTTTTATTCATATGTATTACAAATAACCACATCACGGTGAAAGAAAAGTATTAAATCTAAAATGAGACTAAAAGAAAAAAATAACGTAATATTCATTTATAGCACGTACAAAACAGAAAAATAAGGGTGAGACATTTCTTTTAAAAATTTCTTGTTCCAAAGTATAGTCGGAAATAATGAGTAATACTGAATGGGCATTTGGACCGTATGGACAATACGCAATTTGTGCTGTCGAATGGCCAACTAAATTATATAGTATTAGTACTTTTCAAGGTATAACGCACATTAAAGTTCTGCAGCACCCTATTCACAACCAATTTCAAAGATCGGCTTTCTCAATGGTTAAAGAAGAATTTCTCCCGCTAAGGTCCATTGTAATAGCCATTCCTTTACAGAGACCACCTCTAACAAGTAGAATTTCTATTATCGTCCTGTCAAAGGTTTAAATGAAACTAAGTCATCCAATACAAACATAGGCTATCAGAAGCGCTACAGTGTTCTATTTACTTGATTAAAACGAAAACTAAGACTGCAGTAATATAAACTAGTTATGAGCCTAAAAATTTTACTGCATACGCTTAAATTCAGCTGAGACAATTTCGACGACAGAACATATACATATACAAACACTTCTCTCTACATTAGCTTTTTGGCATCAGTGAAACTGCCATAATACAAGCTATATAATGAAAATGACTACTATACACACTGTTCATGGAAAAATAATGTCTTTGCTTTTGCCACTTTATTGTGCTATATAGTGAGATGTTGCGATTCTTCACAATATTCTACATTATTCTACTTTTTCCCGATTTATGTCGCTTTTATTTTTTACAGTGCAGACTACAAAAGTTACATGAAAAACTCGTAACCGTATTGGATGAAAAAGTTAATTCCAACTTAAGTCGTGTGCTCGACATGACTTAAGTTAATACTTAAGTGAGAAAAGAGTGTAGTGTGGA